ATTTAGACTGTGATACATACGGCNGGAGGGGCAGACAAAGGACTGAAAGGAAAATAAGGAATATGCTCAAGAAAGGTAACATCTAGACTGTGATACATACGACGCCTAATAGGATCATAACATCGATACCCCTTAGATTGATGACAATAGCCCACAAAGATACAACGAATCGCTTTATCATCAAGTTTATGACGAGTAGGAGACCGATTCTGAACAAAACATGTGCATCCAAAAACACGAGGGGGGACCGAAAAGTGTCCGCTGAGGAAATAAGACCTATGTAAGGGAGCCTTATGCTGAAGAACACGACTCGGCGTACGATTGCACAGAAAGGTAGAAGTCAAAACAGCAAAATGCCAATAAAATTTTGGTACCATCATGCCTCTAAGCATACAACGTACCATTCTTATCAAACTCCTATTTTTCTTTTCAGCAACACCATTTTGCTCAGGAGTATATGGACAAGTGAGTTGCTGAAGGATACCCTGAGAAGAAAGGTGAGACACTAAAGCATCAGACACATATTCTTTGGCATTATCCGAACGAAGAGCACGAACAATGACATCGAATTGTGTCTTACTCATCTGTAAAACTGAGTGATTATAGGGAGTACATCAGACTTTCTATGCAAAAGGTTAGACCCAAGTACAACGGGTATGATCATCTATAAATGTCACATAATATCTGGCACCTGACAGAGCAGTAACGGGAGAGGGTCCCCAAATATCAGAGTGTATTAGGTCAAATGGCTTGGGTGACTGGTGCATGCGAGGAATATAACTGGCCCTAACATGTTTCGATAGGGAACATATAACACAGTTAAGTTTACCACCAACATAAGCATTACTCAAAGNGTGCATGCGAGGAATATAATTGGCCCTAACATGTTTTGATAGGGAACAGATAACGCAATCAAGTTTACCACCAACACAAGCATTACTCAAAGCAGGAAACAACATACATAAATATTTAAAATTTGTATGTCCAAAACGGTCATGCCACAATTGAACAATTTGTGACAAAAAATCATAACGACAACTACTAGGTAAAATACTAGAATGCAAGCTAGGAACAGAAAAAGGCAAAGCAGGTGCAAGTGATGTAGGTGGAGGAATTGGTGAAACTAGAGGTGGATTGCCAAGATAATACAGTCCATCTTTCTCATGTCCCTTGATAATAATCCTCCTGGTACTCAGGTCCTGCAAATAACACGAATCAGANGCAGGTGAAGGAATTGGTGAAACTGGAGATGGATTGCCAAGATAATACAGTCCATCTTTCTCATGTCCCTTGATAATAATCCTCCTGGTACTCAGGTCCTGCAAATAATACGAATCAGATAAGAATACAACCGCACAATGAAAATCTTTGGTTAACTGATGTACAGATAATAGATTCATGACTAACTTTGGTGCATGAAAAACCGAACATAATGTAAGGCCATTTGGGAGGCGGACTGTACCCCTACTAACAATAGGGGCATGTGTTCNCAACTTTGGCGCATGAAAAACCGAATGTAATGTAAGGCCATCTGGGAGACGGACTGTACCCCTACTAACAATAGGGGCATGTGTTCCATCTGCTAACTGAACCTGTGTATGTAATTGCTCGTCAAAAGTGGTGAAGTGATGGGCCTCACCTGTCATGTGACCATTCGCAACCGAGTCCAACATCCAAAGGAATCCAAAGGGGAGATGAACTGGNCCTGTGTATGTAACGGCTCGTCAAAAGTGGTGAAGTGATGGGCCTCACCTGTCATGTGACCATTCGCACCCGAGTCCAACATCCAAAGGGGAGATGAACTGGCACAAGCGTGAAAGGCACGAGATATACCTGTAGTGGTGACAGCAGCAGTAGTCAGACTCTGAGAAGTCAGAGCAGACATAAGTATATCTAATCGGGAAGTGATAGCATCCATATCACTCTGCCAAGGTGGAGCAGCAGCAGCAGGAATAGCGGTAGTGGGTGGTGGTACCTCAGCAATAGCAACAGTACGGCTGCGAGGAGACGGCTTAAGCTCTAGATGGAGCTTCCAGCAAGTAGCCTTGAGATGTCCTGGTCGGCCACAATAATCACATTGACGGGAATTCCCCTGTCTGCGCTGATCTGGGGCACCCTGACGAGAATCCCCCTGTCTACGCTGATCTGGGGCACCCTGACAGCGCTGATCCGAGCGCTGCCTACCCCTGACTGAGGATCCTGAATGAGACCCTACAGCAGCTGCAAGGACCATTTGATCAGCCGAAGGAGTCAAAGCCACAACTGGAAGTGATGCAATACGAACTCGGCTCTCATGCTGTTCAATCATCCCATACACCTCATAAAGAGAAGGAAGTGTCAACATCGACAAGATCTGAGAACGAGGTCCCTCAAACTCATCACGAAGCCCCATAAGGAACTTGTGAATCCTATCCTCCTGTTCTCGAGTATGCAAGAATGCTGCTCCCTCGGGCTCTATCCTCGGAATAGCAGCAAGAGGGCGTAGAGTCTCATACTCAAGTCAGCGCTGGGTCAAATAGCCGTAATAATCCTGAACGGTCATATCTCCCTGTCGTGCATATGAGAGCTCCTGAGAAAGCTCATAAACACGAACTCTCCGTCCTTACTGAGAATACATCTCTGATAATGCGCTCCATAGCTTTGGAACAGAGCTATGAAACTGGTGGATCCTGCAAACAAATGGCTTCATCGAGCCAAATAACCATCCAAGAATGACGCAGTTCTCAGAGAACTACACAGAATATCCAGGGTCGGCATCAGCTGGCTTTGGGTGAGATCCCGTCAGCCAACCAAGCTTCCCTACACGGCCTAAGAAAAGCTGGAATGAGCGAGACCACTCAGCGAAGTTACGACCATTCAACAACTGTGCTGTAACTTTCTGAGAGATCATGCCCGGTAGTGCTGGTAATGCAACTGTGCTAGTAGGTACTGTATACTGGTCAAACATAAAGGTGGAAGTACCTATGGATGTCTCAACAGTAGGGGTCTCAAGTCCCTCAGTGGTAGTAGTCATATCAACAATAATACTAAAGCACCCGTGACAGGAAAATAGAGGGATAAAATAGGGGAGAACAATATACCTCCAGTCGAACAGTAGCGACAGATAAAAAAGGTCCACAAAACTCCCAAATAATCAGATCACGGTGCTCAGATATCCAGTAAATATAAATAATCTACTACATCAAGAGAATATCAACAGACGGAGAAAAAGAGGATTCAACCCCTCATAAAAAAATCATAAAACGAAGCCCCAACGAAAAACGCGACCCAACAGTGGGCTGGACAATGACCCAACAGTAGGAGTTCGGTTTATTGGGTTGCTAGGCTGGTCTGGAATGACCCAAAAATAGGAGTTTGGTTTATTAGGTTGCTGGGCTGATTTAATATGTCGTTCGGTTTGGTTTGTGGGTTTGAGGCTGTCGGTGGCTGTATTGGTTCTTTGCTGATTTGTTAGGCAGTTGGGTTCGCTGGGTTGAGTTTTTTGTTGGGAAACATATAATTGCTGTTTTTCGGTGGGATGTTGGTCGGTTGCTTAGCTGTCGGTGGGATGCTAGCCTGTTCTGTTTGTCAGTGCTGGGCAGTGAAGGATGAGATTATTCTGGATTGTCGCTGGGTGTTTTCAGCAGAGGCAGTCTTGGTTGTGTTGCTGGTTTGTGGGTGAGGAGGTTCGCTGGGTTGAGTTTTTCTTTGGGAAACATATAATTGCTGTTTTTCGGTGGGATGCTGGTCGGTTGCTTAGCTGTCGGTAGGATGCTGGCCTGTGCTGTTTGTCGGTGCTGGGTAGTGAAGGATGAGATTATTCTGGATTGTCGCTGGGTGTTTGCAGCAGAGGCAGTCTTGGTTGTGTTGCTGGTTTGTGGGTGAGGCTACTGGACACTGGGATGCTGCCGGGGGCTGATGGGGTTGCTGATTTTGATGGAGTGGAGGCTGCTGCTGGTTGCGATGTTTGGTGGAGGCTAGGGTTAGGGTGAGGGTTAGGGTTAGGGTTGGTGGCTCTGATACCAACTTGAAATAAATGTGAGTGAAAGGGATACAAACTAAGTGTAGAGCCCCCGTATATATAGTCAATGAGAGTTACAATAAGGACAAAAAGGTAAAAAAGGAAAACTTAATAAAAAACCCTAATAAACTAGGTTACTGCTATATCTCCAACAGTGGCAATAGGAAACAAGGTTCATGTAACCTTGCGGTTGAAACAACTAACTGCTGATGGGGATAATTACCAACTGGATTATGTTTAGCTTGCTGAACCAGTAGTAAGTTAATTGATCACAGCCTAGGCCCATGTTAACTCCTGTGGAGACTAAAGGTTCTAAACCACTGAAAGCCGCTTTTATCCATGATTGATGTTGGCTTGGAGGTTGAGAAGTGAGAAGGTGTGCTACTTGATTGACATTGTTGATCAACCAGACAGGCATTAGTGAGAATCATTTATGGATAATGATGATTAAACATATTTGTGTTCCTGATTACAGACACCTGGATATTGACTAGTTGAAACATGGTTCTACAAATGAGCTTGTGATACAAGCAGCCTCATGATGACAGTAATTTTTATTTATCTGTTAACCAACATTAGGATTACAGATCAGTGTCATGATGTTGATTGAGCTTGTTAAGCTATTGATCTTCTTATACTTTTCAAACTTCTTCTGGTATTTTTTCATGAAGATTGCTCTAATTTGCCCCTCCTTTTAACATTTGTGATGACAGATTTCAAAGCAGCTCCCTGATACAGTTCTCGATGTTGAACGGGAGGGCCATACTCATGCTTTCTCGTGCACAATGGCGGGATCGTTATGGGTTGCAAATCATGTAGCAAGCTTGATTAAAAATCAAATATCTGTGGCTGGCACTCGAGGAATGATGGGGCACCAGACAGAGCAAACAAATTTTAGGGAAGAGACGCATGTGCAGGACCTCATCTCAATAGGAGGTTGAACCAAAAGACTCTGAGGTCAAAGCCCAACCTTTACACTCGCCTGCAGTGTGGAGTATCCATGAAGAATTTGTAAGTAACAAATGCATATGCATGCAAAGAAAAAAGGAAGATGTTTGAAGTTATGTAGGTACTTTAAACAATTAATGAATTCTGAAAACTGCTTACAACTAAATAGAAATCTCTAGGATACTTGTGATTGACAATTTTATCACTGCGGGGTTGGGCAGCACTGAATAAACTATTCCATTTTAATTTTCATATACATGGAGATGAGCTTATATTGCATGTGCATTATTCCAGTACTCTCTATCTCTAAGATGATCATACTGTATGTTCATATTCAGCACTATATTGGTTTAAGCAAAAGCTGTCTCCTCAAAGGTAAGGTGATTAGAGTGATTCAAAGAGAAGTACAACATTAATGCATCAACACGACACACTTGGAAAATGATTGAATGAGCCTCATCCTTCACCTTTTTCTCTTCACTTGCTTTCTCTTTCCTTCACAGCCTTATCGATGCATTTCGTACTGCTGCACAGTATCAGGATATAATCCTGATCTCTATCAAGTGGAATAATGGAATGGAAAAATGGATGCCTGTGGACGAGGACGGATACAAGTCATGTGTTGCCCATATGTTGTGTTGGTGTCTGTTTTTTCGGGCTGAATTCTATATTTTCTTTTGTTACATAAACAGGTATGAGTACATTTTGTTTTCTGGGCCATTTTTTGTTGCAAAAAGTGAAAACATTCTTTGGTGGCTATCCCTTCACAACATATTATGCATAATAATGAACAGGTTCATTCTCTTCTGACTCCATTCAAGATCTCATGTTCATGGGATGTTCAACATTCTCATCTTATTCTTCAGAACCACCTTTCATTTTCTGTGCATTTCTATATCTGCAGCTATGAAAGAATCTTTTGAGCATGTTGGCTTTATAGTTCATCTGATTACAAGCTTAATTGGTACCAATTATGCAAATAGTGCTCTGGGATTTCACTTCTAGCTTCATGGATGCAACATAGCTCTGTTTTACACTGCATTTTAAGATCTCCGATGTAGCTTTTAGGTGTAAAAATGCAATTCTCACTTTGCATTGATCTGAACTTTGTTGGTTGATTCAAATGTATCACCATAACCATTCCAAAACTAACAAACTGTTTGCCCCTTCCTGATCACGGGCATACCTTTTGATGGGAAAACCATTGATATGTATGAAAACAGAGAAGATTTGTTGGTATTATAATTATTGTCACTATATTGGCAGTTTTAATGGTTGAGATCAGCAATAAAAGTGACAGATAGAAACAAAATTTTAGTTCCAGAGTTCCATCTCGGAAATCTCAATAGGATTTATGTACTTTTACCTCACATACGAGTGTATTGTTTCTATAACTCTAGTTCATAATGTCCATGTCGCAACGAATTATAGTACAAGGTTTCAGACGCAAAAAAAAAACTGTTAGAAGAATTACATAACATAATGTGCGTTTGGTAATATTTATGTTCTTTCTATTGTAAAAATTAAAAACATAAAACATGTTTGCTAATCATTTATATTTAAAAAATTATGAAAATGAAAATAAAAAGTATATTAGGCATTTTCATAGTTCATTGGGGTTGTTTTGGTTAATTTTTTAATCCCAAATACGTTACTCCTCAAAACATTGAGGATCCACCACCTAACCATAGAAAAATCACCCTCCAACACCATTGAAAAACCACCACCCAACCACCAAAACCCCACCACCAAACCCCTTGAAAACACCACCAAACACCACTGAAAACCCATCACCCACCATCCCTACAAAACCCACCCCCCAACCATCGAAAACTCATCACCCAACCCCTTTGAAAACCCACCACCCAATACCAATGAAAACCCATCACCCACTAATCTTGTAAAAACCCATCCCCAACCACTGAAAACCTACCACTCATCCCCCTGGAAAACCCACCACCTAACACCATCGAAAACCCACACCCAACACTCTTGAAAATACACCACCCAATCACAAAAAAAAAATCAGATAGAGGAGAGAGAGAGAGAGGTGCAAGAGATAGAGTCGAAACAAAGAAAGGCAAGAGAGAGAGAGATGTAGAGGGTAGAAGAGATGGAAAAAAGAGGAAGTGAAAGAAGAGAGGGTGTTTATACTCAAGCAAGAAAATTCATTTTTTTTTGTTATTAAGGAAGATCGAAACTGAGATCTCTTTAATCTCAAAATGAAGCCTGCATGTTTTTGTTTTTTAGGTGTTTATGAAAACATTTTATTTGTGTGTTTTTTCATTTTTTGGCCTTGTTTTTAAAACAGAGTTCCTAAAAAAAACATAAAAACATTACAAACATTTTTTTATTTTTTATTTTTGGCAAAAATTGAAAAAGAAAAAAAGAAATAGCAGAAGCAACAGGTTACCAAACGCAACTATAATTAGACTGATATCAGTGTATATTAGCCTGTAGTGCCCCATGACTGGTGTTTCTAGCCCAACCTTACATGTTTAAGGATCCGATTTCATATATTTTATTCCTAACCTTCAATTAAAGAATTGTACAATATTATAAGGAAAAACTACCAATAAGTATTATTTTTCTCTATAAATATCCATTAAGTCCTATCATTTTTGTTTTATATCAATTAAGTCCTATTTTTAATATTTTATGTCAATTAAGTCCTAATTCTATTATATTTCAATTTTATCCTTACATTTTAGTTATCAAAACTTTTTCATTCTTTTGCATTCTTAGAATCAATTAATAGAATATTGTAGATTCTACATCAATATTAATTTATGCTAATTCTTACCAAAATCATATTTTATTAATTTATATTGAATTTAAAATGATTAAGTTAAGGATTTATTTTAGTTGTTGCGTTTAAATCGATAATGACATTAAAATGGAATTAATCGACAAATATTATCGATGTAATTTTTTTTAACCTTTCTTATTTTATTAAATAATCGACAAATATGTCTCGAGTTTTAAGATTAAATACCCTAATGAGATAAGAAATTAAGAAAATATGAACCTTTTTTGGGTCTTACCATAAAGTTTATGTTAGTTGAATTTTTTTTAAGGGGTTTTGATGTTAATTTTGTAAATAAGGAATTTTTATCCTCTTAATTAATTTTAAGAATGTAAGAGAATGAAAGGGTTTTTATGACTAACGGGAAAGGATAAAATATAATGGAATTTAAGAATTGATTGATATAAAATATCAAAAAAAAAAAAGATATAAAATATCAAGAATAGGACTTTATTGATATACAACAAAAATGATAGGACTTAATAGATTTTTGTGAAAAAATGTAATATTTATCAGTAATTTTCTATGTTATAAAGGATTGATGAGGCACCTGAGTACTTCAAAATAAGACAATTTAACCATTATAGTCCAAACTGTTTCAAGCTGTTCTTCTGATTTATTTTCAAGCTCAATTTTTTTTTTTTTTGGATTTGAAGAATTTGTTTTTATATCCAAGGTAATCAAAATCCACCCTTTTGTGAAGATTTTGGTGGTACTCTTTTCATGTGTATTGATTTCTGCTTATTACATGCTCGATTTTCTAAACGATTTTTCCACGACACATTTGACCAAACAAACAAAAAATCATAAAGTCAAGACCTCTATAGAACAAGGGAAAGCATACAAATGTACAACATAGAAGGAAAAAAAATATATATTATGAGAGCTTACACGNAGTCAAGACCTCTATAGAACAAGGGAAAGCATACAAATGTACAACATAGAAGGAAACAAATTATATATTATGAGAGCTTACATGAAAGAAGGTCTAAGTCAATTTCAAAGGAATCAAGATTTTTTTTTTATGAAGCATTTTGCTTGAAGTTTAATTAATCATAACAATTTGATGGTATAAAAAANGAAAGAAGGTCTAAGTCAATTTCAAAGGAATCAAGATTTTTTTTTTATGAAGCATTTTGCTTGAAGTTTAATTAATCATAACAATTTGATGGTATAAAAAATTGAGAAACATGATATGAATAAACTAAATGAGCTCAGAGACTATACATAAAATAAAGTAGTTCGCTCAATTCAAGGGTTGAATTAGTTCATTTTAACGAAGGCTCTTACTTCTTAAATATGTATTGCCTGAAGATGAATGAGATACATTAGGATTTTTCTCCTTTTATAACTAATTTGTTAGAAAATATTTGTTAGTTAGGAAGCCTACTATTCAAGATATGACGTGGTCTTTTAGAAACGATGCCCTTCTTACCCTCAAGTAAGGGGTGTCGGAGAAATTCCTATGTTGTCCTTTTAGGGGCGGAGCCAGAAACGTTTATAAGGGAGACAAAATATAACTTCAAAATAATTTACTAGTTAATATAAAAAATTAAGTTAAAAAATGACAAAAATTTAAGACTCTAGACAAATTATTGTGAAAATAGTAAATTTAATTTTTATTTAACCTAAACAAAAAGATACAAAATAATTNAGACTCTAGACAAATTATTGTGAAAATAGTAAATTTAATTTTTATTTAACCTAAACAAAAAGATACAAAATAATTTTTTTAGTGCATTTTAACCTTATTGTATATATTAATAAAATATAACATTCTTTAAAATCTCTAAAATTTTGTATATTAATCAAATGTAAATTAATTTTTCACTAATTTTTTTTATCAATGTGCACAATCACAAGTCCGCAGTAAAATTATTTTTTATTCAGTTACAAAACTTAGTTGAAATTATAAAACCAGAAATTGTTTTTAAAAAGTAAAGAATATTGTGTTAGGTAAAGATAAATATTATTTTTTAATCAATATACAAATAAATTGGGATAGTTACATCTGATTTATTCAATCAAAAAATTAAAACATTTATTTTAGAGGGTTAGTAAAACACTAATTTATTAAAAAAAAGACTAGAATCATTATTAAAATTTTAGGGGGACAAATATAATATATTAAATAATTTTATGAGTCCTCATCGAAGGTGATCCAAAANAAAGACTAGAATCATTATTAAAATTTTTAAAATTTTAGGGGGACAAATATAATATATTAAATAATTTTATGAGTCCTCATCGAAGGTGATCCAAAAATAAGGGAGAACTAGTGCCCACCCTATGCCCTTTTAAGTAANAAAATTAAAACATTTATTTTAGAGGGTTAGTAAAACACTAATTTATTAAAAAAAAGACTAGAATCATTATTAAAATTTTAGGGGGACAAATATAATATATTAAATAATTTTATGAGTCCTCATTGNTTTTAGGGGGACAAATATAATATATTAAATAATTTTATGAGTCCTCATTGAAGGTGATCCAAAAATAAGGGAGAACTAGTGCCCACCCTATGCCCTTTTAAGTAAGTCCCACGTTGGGAATTAATTTTATAGGGCATTTTTTGTAATATAAAGTAGGGTATATTTTAATTAACTCATTGGATTGTCTCAAATAAACTTATCAACCGTCCTTTAAAATTATTTATATTGGACTGTATTTTTAAGCATGGTTATCTTATTAGTTATTTATACTGATGGGGGCATCCACATGTGGGTCTCCACGTGTAAGACCGGTGTAGTGCCCATCTGATCAGATCTGAACCGCTCATTCGAATTAAGTGGTTGAATATATTTTATGGATCCCTAGATCATCATACCCCCTCTCATTGTCAGTTTCCTTATGCTAATTTTCTATTCATGCCCTAATGTTAATAGGAGAAGTCCACACTACCAAAATAATAATAATAATAATTTTGATATCGTAGCGTTAGTTCTGTGATTTTTTTATATAATAAATTCTGAGATTTATTTATAATTTATGAGAGTTATTTATAATTTTTAAAATTTGTGGGATCAATTCTAAATTTATTAGGATCAATTTCATGTACGTGATTTAATTCTTATTATAAAAAAACTCAAAAAACTATATCTAAATCTATAGAATTTGATGGTATCATACCTTTTTTTTTTTTTCCTAATACCATATTATTCTTCATTTGTATAATAAAATACATAGTTCTATATACATAAAACATAACAATAGTCTAAATTATTTAGATTCGATGATTTATATTATAATTTAAAGTTTAATTGTATTAATTAGATATATTTATATTTAACTTTTGTTTTTGATAAAAAAAACAATATAGTAACACATACTAAACAATATATAATACTTGTCTTACCACTTGCGTAAGTCTACTGTTTCAACACCAACAGCTCTGTTATTTTTCACTCATGACAGCCAAATGGTAACCATTCTATCCATAGAAAATGTAATCATCTCAACACTAAAACTGTAGATCTAAACAATCTCTCCCTTGAATTCGTGGACCAGATTAGGCTGTGAGGCTGTGACCATAGACAAAGTATATCAATGGCATCAACAGAAAAGAAAAAAAAATACTATATCAATTGCAGCTATATTCATAAATTCATATGAAGGGGCCCTCCAGCTTCACAAGCAGAATTTATAGAGAACAAGCCCTCCCATATAACTCCATGCCTCTCCCTCCCTTGGACACAATTTGAGTCTACAGACAACTCTCTCTCTCTCTCTCTCTCTCTCAGCATTCAGTCAACCATCTCCCTCTCTTGGACACAGTTTGAGCTTAGAAGCAACCTTCTTTCTCTCTCTCTCTCCCCTCTTCCTCTTCCTCTTCCTCTTCCTCTTCCTCTTCCAATGTCAACCAACAAAAAAAAGCTCATTCTCAATACTGTCTCTGTCGACCTGGGTTGCAGCAGCAGTTGCAGAAGGCCAAGACTCTCCAAAATCTTCCACCCCAGAACCAAACTCAAAAAACCCACTTCCTTTCACCAAAAACCCAACCCATATTTCTCATCTTCAACCTCATGGGACACTACCACCACCACATTCTCTCCCACCCACCACGACACCCCAACCTACTACTCCGACCCCGAGTCCGCCGACATAAAGAGCCTGAGAGCCGTTCAGGGCTTCGGAAGGATCGGCGGAGAGAGTGTCGCTGTTGAGAAAGAGACCGACGACCCTTATCTCGATTTCCGACAGTCCATGCTTCAGATGATACTTGAGAAAGAGATTTATTCCAAGGACGATCTTCGAGAGCTTCTCAACTGTTTTCTGCAGCTGAATTCACCTTACTATCATGGAATCATCGTTCGAGCTTTCACTGAGATCTGGAATGGAGTGTTCTCTGTGAGGTCTGGTTCGCCGGAACTGTTTGCTGGGTGGAGGTCACGTGCCTTCTAGGTGTTGCACGTGTAGTAGTAGCAAATCATCTTCTTCTAGCTCTAGCTAGAACAAGTTCAAATAATTAGTAGAATCTTAGGAGTTTTAGGAGGACTCTTGTACTCTGTACATGGTTTTTTTAGCTGCATCTGTAACTTCACAATAAAATTGTAACTTGCAGAAGTTTGGATGCAGCCAAAAATACTATGAGAAATCGCAATATGTTGACTGTATTTAGTGGATGAAACTTTCGTTCTTTCTAGTTCTGTTTTGGTTTGTTATCTTTGTTTTAGAGATTTATTTCATATTATTTTTTTTATTACTTTTCTCGTAGAATTAATGCGGTATTAAGGTTGTTCTATTTTAACTTGAAGGTCACGAGTTTAAATCACAAAAATAATCACTTTTTTTACAAAAATAATACTACGTATATCTAACCCTCTAGACCCGTAATAACGAAAACCTTAATACAATCCTTTGTAGTGGAATTAAAGCAACGAACCACAAAATGCCATAGGAATTCTCAAGAAATTATTTACTCTGGGCAAAACTGAATATCTATCGAGGAAAATAAAATTTTGTACGTTGGTAAATGTTTTTACCCTCCGGCACATAGAAAATTTTCTTAGGGAAAAGCCTTATTTGTTGCAGCGAGGATTCAATGTTCGACCAATAATTTTTAACACAACCCATAGGATGCAAGTTGGGCGAGTTAATTTGATTTTAACTCAGAGCACAATTCAAAAAAATTAGGAATTGAGTTAGGATTTTTAATACTTGGGTTGGGCTTGAGTCAAAAAACTCCAACCCAAATTCAATTTAGACAGGACTCAGGTTGACCTCTCGAGTTGCCGGATTCAAACTGAATATTCATAATCATATAAATACATTTTTAAGTTTAGGGTTAATCTGTTCTGAAGTCTTTATTGTGCACCTCCTTCACTCACTATTTAAGCAGTGAACTCTATGTTTTGTATAAATATTCTGATTGTGTTTATTTGTGTTATGTATGGTTGTGATTGCATTATCTCAAACATTAAGTTCTTAATATTATGATTTTTATGTTAAAAATTTGATTGAAATTATTGATTGTTAATTTAGGTGAATATTATATAATATATGCATCAGGTTTAGAACAACAAGTCTATTTTGAGCTCAATCTGAATTGAACTTATAAAATAGCCCAAAATCATTAACCCGAATTCAACTCGATCTCGTCCAAATTAAACTCGGGCAATGCTCGAGTTGAGTTTTTCAACCTGAGGTAGGGTTAGGATTAGGATTATGGTTAAAATTATGATTGAAGATTATATATATAAGGTTGAGCTAAGGTTGATTGTCCAATCCGTCCGAGCTACACCCCTACATAAAATAAAAAATATTAATCCAAACTTAGAATTTTTTCTCCCTTAAGAATTTTGTCTTCGAAATTTAACTTACCATTTTAAAACAAGTGAGGATGTTTGGTTTGCATGACTCGCTTGACTTCCTAAGTTACTCTTTTGACTGCTTGATTTCGTCACAACACCTTTATCAATGATATAACTTTCGCTCGAAGTACCTGATCTCGTCAAATCCAAAATGGCCATGGGTTCCTTAAGTAAAATTAATTCCTACCTTATATAAGAGCCAAAATTTGACATGAAATTGCTCAAATGATTTGAAACATGACATGCCATGTATTAATATTTTGGTACAAGACATTTGAAGTTCTTGATTTTGAAAATGATCACAATAACATAAAATAAAAAAATTATAAATATAGTTGTTATCGGTACATACAAAGAAGTAGAGTAAATTACACTTTACCAGCTATTGTTTTTGTCTCACTTTGTATCCTTAACTATCAAATTTTTTAAATTATACCTTAATATATTAATTTTGTTTTATATCACTCAAATAGATAATGACAAACTTGAAAATCTGTCAAAAGAGTGAAAAAAACCTTAAAGAGCTTCCCGCTAAGTGCCTAATACCACTTTATTTTATTTCTTTTGTAACCAAATTATTATTGGAAAGAAAAAGAAGGTTGACCAGAAAAAGAAAATATGGAACTTAGGAAAGGTAAAATTATTGATAAGTATTTTACTTGATTTTTGACTTGCACATGTGCAATAGACAGTTGTTTATTGACAGTACAAACGATTCACATGCTTATTTACTGTCAAAAAATCAACTGTCGCTATTTATTAGAATGAAATGAAACAAAATTAATATTTTATAGTACAAAATGAAGCAAATGTAATAGTTCAATGTGATAAAGTATAATTTACCCTACGAAGTACCGGTGGTTGTGATTTGAGGATGTGATGATGGTGAACTGGTTGGTTTCCTGTGAGGGGTGTATATGGGGATGGTCAAAATCGTCGATGGGATTGAAGATAAGTTGTTTTCGTACATTAATGGTGTGAAATTGATAGGTAGACGTTGGGATATTGAAATTGTATAAAAATAAAACGTAGATGTGGGAGAAGACAGTAGTTTTTAATGCACTTCAATGGGATTATTCATGATTCTGCGACTTCGCTTGTACATTTGCCAACAGTGACATCAACTCTCTCTCTCTCTCTCTCTCCCACACACACACACTATAGTTGGGCTTGCCATATTTCTTTTGGATTTCATTCTGTTTTTTTTATATAATTGTAATAAAAATAATAAAAACATATTTTCTAATCATATTTTTGTACTAAAAACCGTGACTTCAAAGCACGGTTTGATTAAAATAGTAACAGATGGAGAAAATTCATCCATCGCATATCAGTTGGATGGGGGTGACACATTTTTATGTATGAACATGAGATGTGACAAGGGATAAGGCTATGGGTGCTAAAATTAATCAAGAGTCGTTGATTTTAATTTAGATAATTTATAATTTTTGATTAAAATCATGATAAAATAATAAAAAAAGGGACCATAATAAGACTCTATGATAAGATATGGGTTTGAAGATGCTAGAAGCAAATGACATTTATATTGATTTGATACATCATTCGCTAAATCTCAAACGCAAAATACAAGTTTACATGACCTCTTAATGCAAGTCTTTCTCAGTAGTCAGTACCTGTGGTTGCTTTCTGCTTTTGCAAATACCATCCACCGAAGACATCGACCCTCAAGAAACTAAGAAAGTTCTACGACACTCACAAGTCACCCACCCCATGAAAGCAAACCCACTTTAGCATGCTTGCCAGGTTCAAAGTTTTGATGGTCACAACTGAAGAAACACACACACACACACACACACTCACTCTCTCTCTGTTGATTATCCCATAAATAGCATTGTCAAGCCAGTTCAGAGATTAAATGTAGTCTATATTAACAAGTCTTAGTCGAAATCCAAGGACCCAGTTGGGAAATCTCTTACTAGAGGAAGCTCATTGAAGTAGGGCCATCATTGAAATCAAGAAGCATAGAAGAACACTCTCCTCCCTGTGACGATGTTACCAAGACAACCCAAGAAGGAGAGAGCAGGTAGCTGAGTCCAACGCTTTAATTTCAGTGAGACAGTCCTACTCAAGTCTCTTTAATTCTCAACACAAAATACAAAAACAAGCGTAGTTTTCACCTGCTACCAAATGATGCTCTTCTGTCACCTAAATGTTTATTGCTTTGCAGGATTGTCTTTGCTCAGTTTTTGGTTGCCAGCCAGCAAATGTTTGATATTTGGGTGTGCTCAGTTCTTTGTTTACGCGTGTACTCTAGTCTTACTCTTGCCATCTCTTTATTTTTATGCAAGGTCATTAAATTATACTTCGACCCCTAAACTATACTACTCGTTTTAAGTTGCATCCTAAATTATTCGTTTCGTCACATTGCATTTTAAAATATTGTTTTAAGTTTTGTAATTTCCTAGTGATTTATATTTATTCCATTTTTCAAGATAAATCAAGTCAAAAATGGATTTTGGCAATACTCCTCGTCAACTGTGTAAACTACTATTTTTATCCTATTTTTTGTGAAAATTTACATAGAAGTTAACAAGTAGGGTATATACTATGACATTCAAACTAATAGTTTAATATATAATGTGAGAAAATAGATAATTTAAAAGACAATGTCAAAAAAGGAGGTTTAGTTGAGGAGGTATAAGATAATTTTCTCTTCATATAAGTATTATAGAAGATTATAAGGTTTCCAAGAAAAAGACACATAACCATCTCTTTATCTTCACACATTTCACTGATAGTGGGAGACATCTTTTCCTTGTCAGGAAGAGAAACATCTCCCCTCTACCAAATGAATGGACATGATCTATCAATGATGTTACTTTAAGCTTTCAGTTTTAGTTGACAATTTTTCACTCAGTAAGACACTNAGGAAGAGAAACATCTCCCCTCTACCAAATGAATGGACATGATCTATCAATGATGTGACTTTCAGCTTTCAGTTTTAGTTGATAATTTTTCACTCAGTAAGACATTGTCAAAGGAAGAGGGAACAGAGAGTTGACACATGCTACCTCCATGGAGATGATAGTTCTTATCACCCCATTTTTAAAGCATATGATTAAGTATCATCTTGTTTCTTAAAGATCAGACAAAAATAAAATGAGAATTTCAAAAACTAGAATAAAGCACTTTGATTTAGGGGGTGGTGGAGATGGGAAGATAATAGACGACCTTTAGTCACTCTTTTTTGCTCAATGAAATGTGATGTTCTGATTTGGAGGATCAAGATGTGAGGCTTCAAAGCTTAGTGGGCCTTTGTGTCAACCTCTCACAGAGGAAGCCAGATTAAAAAAAACGAATAATGTTATGTGAATTTAAAATTTTAACATAATTTAATGACTAATGATGTGATTTCTTTATAACCATTAAATTAACACTAATTTGTACTCCGCGACGAGGATAGGGAACCTCGTTGCTTCAATCTTGCCCGNAAAAATAAAATGAGAATTTCAAAAACTAGAATAAAGCACTTTGATTTAGGGGGTGGCGGAGATGGGAAGATAATAGACGACCTTTAGTCACTAATTTGTACTCCGCGACGAGGATAGGGAACCTCGTTGCTTCAATCTTGCCCGTGAAAGGGGTATCATTCCCTCAGTTTTTCCGATTGAAAGCTTATATTATGATGAAAAGTGGGTAATGTAATGTTAGACCGATCAAAAATAGAAACAAAAAATACAGACTACATACAAAAGGAGAAGATTAGCCTTTGTTATGAAACAAGCTTTTGCTTTGGGCCGGAACAGAGGAACAAAGAAAATAATTGAATTGGGCCATT